ATGTCAATATAATGCGGAGCCGCCTCATCATGCATACACATTCCCCCATTTCTTCGATCAAAATTTTGAACAAATCGTTAAAAAAATAAGCAACCAAATACAAAACTAAAATCGATCGCATGCGATTTACGAAAAAGTTATCCATAAACAGCTGCTAAAAAAAGCAGAGTGAAGTACATTAACTCTAATCGTCCCGAGCTAATCAGTCTCTTTACTATTTTCTTAACGGCATTACTCTGTTGCCTCCACCAACGCTGGAAGAACGCCTGAAATCACCATCTATCGTCAATCGACTACCCTAAAACCCCTAGCAATGGTTCTTCAGTTCCATCCCAAATCAAAAGAAAAGACTCAGAACCCTAGCAATGAAAGACTACCTGCTCAACATAGATAAACCTCCTGTTCTTATCCTCCAGAAGAGCGGAAACAACTGAATCCAAAACGTTGCGCACGCATGCGCCCTGGATGGAGTTATTAGACCCAACGTAATACTGGTCGACGGTCTTCAGCCAGCCAACGTCGTCGTGAGAGTGGGGAACGAGGTGAACGTTGAGCTTTCCGGTGACAATCCCGGCGGTGGTGTTGTAGGCGATATATTCAGCTACGGAGAGGTAGAAAGAAGCTGCAACGAAGAAGATCAAGAGTAATGGTACGCCATATGGCCAGCGGGAAGCCAAGGATTCCGGCGACGCCATGCAGCTTTCAGAGTTTAGCGGCCGGAAAGATGCAAGCTAGAGACTGTCAAGTGGATTTTATCCTCGTTTCATAAATATTACATTTAAGTCCTATCTATTTAATGTAATTATTTTTTTGCAACAATTACACGGAGAACACGTGAGAAAATTGTTATTTACAAAAAAAAAACATTCTCCACGTGCGAAATTTATTTTTTGGCACGTGTGAATGCACAAATAGCACCCAACTCTTATCTATTTACATATCTAGCCATCAAACTCTTATGTACAATAATTAATTCATTATTACATCAAAATATCATCATTATTATTTTTTAAAATTAAAGAAAATAATTTTTCATGCATAAATCTGACAATAAAATATCATAAATATAAATATTAAATTTTAAGTGTTAGATGTGTAAATACATAAGATTTACGTGGTAAGTATGTAAATTTCTCTTATTTTAGTGTGTGAATTTTCTTTAGAATGCTTTATAATAAACTATTACATTTAAAATTTTAGGGATGAGTTGGTTCTTTTAAAAATATTAAATGTAAATATCAAAATTTAAGTATTGGATATGTAAATAAATAAGAATTATGTGGTAAGGATTACTTTTTTTGTTTTTTTATGTTTGCATTTTTGTGGAATTTTTATTAGAAAATATTAAATTTAAAAATTTAGGGATTTTATCCCCCTCAAATTCAAATTTTTATTTATATTGAAATGCAATTTGATATTTTGCCCCCTTCTAAAATATTAGTTTTGCCCCTCTTGAAATATCAATTTGTCTTTTGTTATGGTATGTATGTAATTTTTGTGAGGACTTTTGACGTAGAGAAACATTTCAGAGTCCAATGAAATCACGCCACGTGGCGGTGAC